TGCATCCTGAGCTGAAGTATGCCCTTGTGCTACCAATGTACTAGGGTAAAGGGAGCAGGCAATGTTGCACGAATTATCGTGGCATCAACTTGCTGAGTTGTGTGGGCAGGGTGATTGACCGAATTCTGCTCAACTGCCTCGTCAGTCAGTTTGTGGAACCGAACGTGGCGGAAGAGCAATGTGGATTCCGCTCGGGTCGCAGCACTATAGATATGGTGTTTGCGGCTCGTAAGTTGCAAGAGAAGTGCAGAGAACTACACCAGCCGTTGTAGTCACTTTTGTTGATTTGACCAAGGCATTTGATACGGTGAACCGCGAGGCATTGTGGCTGGTGTTGGGTAAGTTTGGTTGACCGCGTAAGTTTGTAAGTTTACTTGAATGTCTGCACAGTGGTATGCGACCGAGGGTGCAGCTGAGTGGAGAGACCTCGGATGACTTTTCAGTTGTCTCTAGTGTTAATCAAGGCTGTGTTTTAGCTCCTACCCTTTTTTAATATATATCTTCATGCATTGATGTCTTGTGCTTTTGATGCCGCTTGTGCTTACGGTGTTGGTGTGGAGCACCGTGTTAATGGTGGGTTGTTGAACACCCGTCGTTTCGGTGCCAAAACTCTAGTCTGTGAGACAATATCCGTATGTTGCTGTTTGCTGACGACTGTGCGTTATTTTCACACAGCACGGATGAGTTGCAGCACATGACTATTGCTCTGGCTTCGACAGCGGCCAATTTCAGGCTAACCATCAACACAAGCAAAACTATCTGTCTCTTTCAGCCTTCAACGGAGATGCGGTCTTCAATATTGCCGCGAATCAGCATTGGTGCTGAAGTATTGGAAACCACCTCCCGCTTCTGCTACCTTAGGTGTGTGATGTCGACTGATCAGCAGATACACAGTGAGTTGCGTATTCGCGTGTCGAAGGCAGCAGCGGCATTCGCGAAGCTAGAGTACCGAGTGTGGAACAACCATCAGCTTACCATTGACACGAAGCTGATGGTGTACAAATCCACGGTGCTGACCGTTCTTCTATACGGCAGTGAAATGTGGACGATGTACTGTCGGGACGTGCGATATCTCGAGCGGTTCCATCAGCAGTGTTTTCGACGGATTTTGCGCATCACTTGGGGCGACAGAGTTGCTGACACGGAAGTTTTGCGAGAAACTGGAATGTATGCAGTGGACTGCATACTTTTACTGAGACACCTGAGGTTGCTCGGTCATGTGAGCCGTATGGATTCCACTCGGATACCGAAACTACTCTTGTACGGTCAGCCGAGTATTGGGAAGCGGCATATGGGGAAACCAAAGCTACGTTAGCATGACATGATCAAAGTGAGCCTGTCACTTTCTAAGCTTGATTGCAGGTCATGGGAATCGAAGGCGGTTGATCGGCTTGCGTGGCGCGATCTAATCACGAAGGCATTTGTTGAAGTGCGGGAGAAAGCCTTCATGCATGCAGAGAACAAGCGGCATGTGCGGAAGAGACCAACACCGATGGATTGTACTCCATCGACATCGAGTGCATGGTGCTGTGGCACATGCGGTCGCGAGTGCCTTAGTCAGGCAGGCCTAGTGGGCCATGAGCGACGCCACTCGGGACCCCTACCGAAGCGACGACGGGCCCTGCAGAGAACGTACGCAGAACCGGCGCAGCGTTTGTAGGTACGCTGAATTTGATTTCCTAACCGCGTGCTTGCATGCTAAGTCTCTTTATTTCAAATGGTGGATTTTCAATTTCGCCCCAATGCTTTTCTTTCTCATTTAAATATCTACCTGTACTCTATTCCATTAACTTGTACACCACGCTTAAACCAAGTATATTCGATTTCCATAACATTTTCGTGTTCGTGGCATTTCCGTAAAGTATACTTTCTGACCTCGTGAATTTATCCAGGATTCGTTGGCAGGCAACTTAATTCATGCTTATTAATTTAGGACTTATGTCACCGTTTCCTTATGCATTAATCGAGTTATTTTATTTTATCTCTCTCCCTCTCAAGTGATTGACTGTTGTTTGATATCCCCGGTGTTGCTGCGCTTGCTCTTCATGTTGACAAGGTGCCTACCTGTCTATTACCCACTACCTCGTCCATACTGGCTCCAGGAGACAGTTGGTCGTTGATGGAGGGGACTGGGTGCACGGTTCTTGTGGCCGTGTTAGGATCAAAAAGTGGTTCCATGCACTTAGTGTGGAGCGGACTACGGTCCAGCTACTGCATCGTGTGCGCTTGATTCCCCAAAACAGTGTGCTTGTGTTTGCCTGTGAAGGAGTGTGGGCCGGCTCCTTTGCTAAAACGTGGCTCGCATCCGCTTGCCTCCCGGTCTTATTCCTTCGGGTTTACACTGGATATGGTGTGGGTGGATGGAGCTGTGTGTGGTGCAACGCAAGCCACCCATGGACCCTCTGTAGGCACAGGAGTCCTGTGGCTGGCCACAGTGACAGGCAAAACCGAAACCGGATGCCGCCAACCATACTCATCCGAGGTGATATATTATTACCAAGATTGAAGCAAGTATGTGCGTATGCATGCGTGCTCTATGCTGAGGCTGATATTGCATTCATGATGCTTCTTCACCGCAGTTGGGCTAAACCAACTTACACTTAAACTAGGTCTTTTTAAGCTGGATAAATTTCATTCCACTTTCTTTGGTCTGTTCTGCCTTACTGAATAATCTTCGGTTGACTTGCACATGTTGCTTAGGCTAATTGCGCTTATCTTCGGTAACTTTGCTGCGTTTGTATCATATTTTTAATAACTTGTAGACATTTTGTACTTGTCGCTTATTCGTTGATAACGAACTTACTTCATATACAAATCTAGCAAAGAGTTATATCAGCATAACCGTATGCTTTAAAAGATACATTTTATTTTAAAACGTCATTTTAAGTGATTGGCTGTTGTTTGACACCCCAGTGTGACTGCGCTTGATGTGAATGTTGACAAAATAGGTACCTGTATATTACCCACCACCTCGTCCATGCTGGCTCCAGGAGACAGTTGATCGTTGCTGGTTGGGACGGGGTGCACATCTCTGTGGCCGTGTTAGGCTCGAAGTGGTTCCATTAAATCAGTGTAGAGCGGACCACGGTCCAGTCACCGCGTGGGCGCTTAATTCCCAATTACAGCGTACTGGTGTTTGCTTGTGGAGGAGCGTAGGTCGGCTCCGTTGTTAAAAGGTGGCTCCCCTATACATGCCTCCCAATCTTATTCCATCGGGTTCGCACTGGATATGGGGTGTGCGGATGGAACTGTGGATGGTGCAGCGCGAGCCAACCATGATCCCTCTGTAGGTGTAGGCGTCCTGGGTCTGTTGATGCAAGTCCGAAACCGGATGCCGCCAACGATGCATGCTTGCAGACGTATTGGTAAAGGACCAATCAGAATAAACGAGCTTAGTCAGCGATCCTTTAGTAAACATCTGACATCAGACGGGTTGAAAATATTTGATCGGTTTGTGAATGCTGCGTGACGGCCGAAGTGCCATTTCACTTGTAGTTGTGGCTTATTCACTCACCGCTAGTTTCTATGTGCCGGAATGTGGGTCAGATTGCGTTTCTGCTGCTGTGGCAGTTCCTCGGGCGTGTACGTGACTCGAATGTAGGCTGACGATACGCCCGTCCTGAAGCTGTGAGCCTTCTTGCTTCTCTGCTGAAACGATTACGGTTGCAGAGTGTCAAGGCTGCTCATACGGTAAGCGGGTGTAAACTTCTTTCTCTTTCTTGAATGTAACTTCCGTCTTTGACTCATCCAAGGGCACAGATTTTTTCTGCCGCTCCTCTACTCCATCACGCGGTTTGGGAATCACAACTGAAGCCTCGTGCTAAGATTCCTGCCGAACACCAATTCCGCTTGGGGGTTTATCGGCCTTCTCAGTGGGCGTAGAGCGGTAAGGGAATAGAAAGCGAACCAGTATTGTATGTAAATTTCCCGCGCGTTGCTATTGTAGGCCTGGTTTTCTGGTTTTGCGGCTGGCTCTGCTAGCCCGTTTGATGCTGGGTGATACGGGGCCCATGTAATGCACTGGATTCCGTCATGAATGAAAAATATATTGAAGGTAACACTGATAAATTGTGAACCCTTGCCTGTGCATTGTTTCTGTTGGAATGTTTCAAAGCTTGCGCGTGACTGCCAACCCCTTGATGATTGGTTGCATTAGTATGGTACTGCAAGCGGAAAGTTAAACTTAGAAAGCGAAGAGCGCATTTTGGTAATAATGGTTTCTAATGTCGCCTGGGTAACTGGATGTGCATTGACCTACTTGGGATATGCATCAATAAGTGAAAGGAACATTGTCCCGTTAATCAGTCCGAAGTAGTACATGTGAATCCTTTGCCACGTCAAGGATGCACTGAACCACGCAGTTCGTTACGTTGACGAGCCTGCAAAACGTCTTAAATTTCACATCAAGCGGTACCCACTCGCTAAAGACTACATTCTTGCCACAAATAGATGAGCATCACGTAGTTCCCCAAGGATCCGTGAACGCGCCTTAACAGGATGGATTAGCTGAGAGCCGTAAAAACAGCCGTCGAATAGACTCAATCGGTTCCTACGCATTATGAACGCCTGTAAATGAGTTGTTCCTTCAGACGGCTAACCCACTGTCACAAATCGTTTCACCATTGAGAACCGCGATTGAAATCTACCCAGAACGCCGTACCACCAGTCAAGAGCAACTGCCTTTTGCCGTCTTACCCTCACTACTCTGAAGGCACATCAATATAAACTCTTCCATCCGAGAGTGATATCTGTGTAGACAGGGAAAAGTTCAACTCAGTGGAAAACAACGGGAGATTCTTATAGTGAAAACAAGCAACATTCCGTCAAATTCTGAATCGGGGGGTCTTTTTAGGAAGACCATCTCATAAAATTGCAACCAAAATTACCCTAGTTAAAACGATGTCGAATGAACTTTCACCTATTCGGTGCATCTGTACGCAACTATCCCCTTCTTTAACTCTCTCTCTCTCTCTCTCTCTCTCTCTCTCTCTCTCTGTTAGCGGATATCACAACTTGCCCTCTGGCGGATCCACCCATTGAGCTTAGCTCTGGTGCGTTGGACCACCTGATCGACATCCTACTGTCTAAAGTGATCACCAGTAATTCGGTGATCCACGTGGACCAACCATTGGAGGTGAGTCAGGGCATCGAGGTGAGGCAGCTGCGAGTATACAATTTGCACACCATCCGAAGAACATGCAACATCAGGCTGACATCTCAAGACACTGTGGGTTGCCATCAGCGAGGTTTGTTGCTAGACGTCTGCTTCGGTTTCGATCAGCTGTATTTCAACGCCACAGTGAAAACGTGGATTCCTGGACTGAGAGATGGGGTAAGTAACAAAGCACTTGATTTCACCAGTTACGTTTTAATGAGAAACCATTAGCTGCAGCGAAGAATGAGGCTATAGGTGTAAAAGAGTTGGTTTCTAACCGGATGTGGAGAAAACAGCCAGTGAAAAAAATAGTCCGAGCGGACAAAATGAAAATTCCTCTCAACACAGTGAGAGGACCATCAGGTTGCAATTCAATACCAACACAGCTCCTGATATCATCAGCATCCCAACCACATGGCACAAGGTCCTGTCTTCACCCTTCGGATCGAATTTGTAACATTGTAGCTTACATCACTTTCATTTAACCCTATCCTCTCTGTCCCTGAGACGTTCAAAGCTAGCCCGTGGCGTAACGGGTCACAAGCCTGCTTTGTAATCCTAGGGCGTGGGTTCGAGACTGCGTAAGGGCCCGAGCGATCCTAGTAGTATCCTCGGCCCATGCGCAACCGGTGGTGGTTGCACGGCAGCTAGACGTCGGTAATGCATGTTGGTGTATGGCTGATGCATCTCTCCGTCTCGTTCTGATGTTTTAAAGATCCGTGAGGTACATTAAGCCAGTAAGGAACACCCTGGACTCCTATAAATTTCTATTCTGTACCAACGATGAACAAAGCCAGCTTCACTTGCTACCTTACTTATAACACGAACGGCGTGTGACCGATGTTCGAGTGTGTCGGAACGTTTGCTACCAAGAAATACTCCTTTAGCCGTCGTGGACGGTAACTTTGTGAGGTTCATATTGATCTTCTGGTTCCTTTACATGCACTATTCTTCGTTTGCGTAGGACTTTTCTGTTTACCGATACCTCTACGGTGCTCACTCAATTGCCTGATCGAAAGGCAGGAATTTACTTTATTTTTAGGTCAAGTCAGGTCATAATAATGATAGGCATTATGCACCCAGCTAAGCACATTTTCAGCATTCTTTACTTTCACTGAGAATGGAGCAATATATGAAATGATTGCATGAAAGCACATAAAGGGTCAATTACAAAATGCAAATGTGTGTTTCACGAGAAAACAGTTCAGAAACCTACCGATTACTTTCGTCGGGTCGAAAAGTAAGCATGACAAGTACGGCAGAACTAATTTGTGGCAAAATGCAGTACGAGAGAATAGGAGTCGAAATTTAGAGCAGGTAGAATAGACAAATGGCATTTTTAATCGCTCTTCCTGCAGAGGGTGGAAAGCGGAATAGAATTAGGCTCTAATCGCGAGGTAGTCTCGACTTGTAGTAAGGACACCCGAATTGGAAATCGGATTTCTTAGTCAATTAGTGAAAAGTATAACAACAGGCAAGCGTTGAATATAGTTTTACAGTCATCACACCCTCCACAGCTTGAATGCACTTCCAGGTTGCTGTAATTCGGTTGGGGTTTCTGTTGCAATCTGGCGAATCTTGCCGGCTGACTCTGTTCAGAACTTTTATGAGAACTTGTAACAGAATTGTCTTTAGTATTTGCATTGCGCACAGAATAAAACGACAACTGACCGGAATACTTGTATTTTACCTGATCAACATACCGTCTATGTACAGAGCAATCACCGAGATCCAGAAGTTTAACCATACGACTTCCAATTTTCTTAAAGATGATTCCGAATGAAGGACGTAAATCATTACCACAAAAATAAGATACTTCGGCGGTTCCAAAACCAAGCATGTTCGATCTCAATTGTCTAGATCTACATAATTTAGCTGGTGTAACTCCGTTGATGGAATGCACACAGTTACAGTATTGAATAAGGAAGTTATCCATATAGCGATTAAGTTCATCATAAGAAGTAGGAGCACAAGAAGAAATAAAACCACTTAACGTGGCAGAAACGTTGTCAGCTAGGCCATTAGATCATGGATGTCGTGGAGTAGTAAAGTGGTGACGACACCCAAGACTCTGCAGCCAATTGGTAAGAATTGAAGCTGAAAAGTGCAAGCCATTGTTAATTATAACAGCTAATGGGACTCCTTCCCTACTAAACACTTTTCGCAAGGCACGTAGAGTAAAATCAGCATTTATTTTATCAGTCCGGAACACTTCCGGCCACTTTGAATACGAGTCCAGCACCACAAATGCATAGTCCTTCTGTAAATTGGTCCACAGTAATCCAAATGTATCCTCTGCCAGGACTCGCATATAATCAGCCATGGTGTTCACTTGGACGGCTGTTTTAAAGTCTTGTGCTTACAACTCGGGCAAACAGAAGCAGTTCCTTGAATATCTGCACTTACTTTCGGCCACCAGCACAAGCATCGAGTTAAGGACTTCATCTTTTCAACACCAAGGCGACAAGAATGTAAATCCGTCAGAACAGCTGTGTTGTAGAGCTCAGTCCTTCAGAGACAAACGTTTATTCGATAAAGACAGATCAACGAAAATTACAGCATGTTTAGCAAGTCAAACTCCTTGATATAAATTACAGGTTCATGTCCATAACTAACGACCCTTCTGAGTCGATGAGGTTCCTCCTTTGCTTCAGTTAAATAAACGGTGAATCACTGACACGAATATCGGCCAATCCGAGTCCAGTAATCGAATCCGTCACATCCGTCTCCCATTGGCCGTCTGGCTCGCTCGGTCGGTCCATCTGGTCACTCTGGTCCGATACTACTACCACATCCACCCATTTTTCGTATTATTGTGTCTCCATATTGCGATCCATCCCGTAAAGCTTGCCACTCAGTATCGTCTTCCATGTATCTGCGGCAGTGGTCTCCTTGTCATTCGTCATCTGCCACTCTACTCCCAAATCACATTGTTGTCTCCGGTGTCGCCTCAAACGCACTCAACATTTTCGGAACATTTTCCCTCCAACCTTTTTATCGTATGACTTGGCATCGACATTCGCAGTCACCACACCTTTCTTCCACTACTCTAGACTATCGGGTAATGGTTTAATCCACACTTCCTCACCACTGTTAGCTCAGATAGTACGCATGCACCGCGATCATAGTACCGTTTCTGAGTGATCATTCGTCGCCTCAGATTGTTCTGTAATCGTTCGTGCTGTGGCGAAACTGGGCGCAAAAGTGTGGCAAGTGCCGATACCAGAGTTCTAGTCCTTCGGCTGTATGGGCGCTGCATTGGGCTCAAACTGATATTCTTTACACGAGTGTTGCGATTCTCCAGTAGTGATACGAGTTACGGGTCGTCGCCCGTTGCTCTAGCCTTGGATAACAGTCGCTTGGCTTGCTTCACTGACGACTCCGCCTTTCCATTCGATTGACTGTGATATGGGCTGGTTTGTTGGTGCCAGAATTCCCACTTTCTTACGAACGCCTGGAACGCACTGCCGGTAAACTGGGCCCATTGTCGGAGACCAGCTCCTCTGGTATACGTGCCGGGCGAACTGACATCTGAGTTTGTTGATTACTGCCCCTGTGGTCGTAGTGGCGAGTAGATTGGTTTCAAATTAATCACCATAGTAATCCACCGTGAGTAAGTAAACTTTTCCGTTATCACTGAATAAATCCACTGCCACCTACTGCAACGGTCGATCAGGGACATCATGCAACATCAGTGGTTCCCTCTCTGCCGGGTTTTGTGTGAACGGCACGGCTCACAATTCGATACATGAATTTTCGTGTGACCCGTCATTCCTGGCCAAAAGATCAACTCTCCTGTCCAGTTAAGGGTATAATTAGCACCAAAGTGAGCGCGATGAACGTATGTAAGCATTTCTCCTTGGAGCGATGTTGGAACCAGAATACGGCTCCGCTTGAACAGCAAACCATCATAGACAGACAGTTCATCCCGAAAACTGAAGTAGCGTGTTAGTCCCTTCGGCAGCCGCTTCCTTGTCTCTGGTCACCCTTTAGAACAACACCTCGCAAAAATCTGAAAGCGTTACATCTTCCTATGTGACGCCTTAATTTCTTTAAGCGATCTTCTGTCACTGCTGGGTGCTGTACTAAGTTTACTGCTTCGACCTCTTTCGGATTATGCTCGACTACCAGCAGATGAGCTCTTGACAGCGTATCCGCGATGAACTTCTGTGCACTAGGCCTATACACAATACTTCATAAATTATCCCCATTTGAGTTAGAACTAAACAAATGCGCGAAGAATATTCTTTTCGATGATTCTCATCGGGCGTGTTCAATTATAAAGCAAGATATTGGAGAGAATAAAGCTCATAGAGGCTTGTATGGAAGAAACCAACTCCTTAACCGGGCAGTATGAAAAATATATCATTGGTTTGATCAATCAGACTATCGCGTTAGAAAGCAGGTGATCAAGGCAGGTCATATGTCACGTTCAAGGCCAAGGCAATTTCAGAGCCTGTAGCAATGTGCGCTGTTTGCACAGCTCTGGTTTTAGAACCGGATATGCATACGCTGAAGGGACGAGGAACGACATGCAGCGGTTTCCTGCCTATTGATACTAGCAGTTTATTGCCGGTATACAACCTTGTCATTCTACCGAAAGTATACTCGTTGAAACGCTCCATGGCATAGACTGCCGCATGCATCTATTTCTCAATCTGCGCATAGCGCTGCTCGGTCCCGGTGAGTGTTCGACTGCGGAAATCTAATGGTTTTCTATTCTGTACTAGAACTGCACCTATTCCGTCTTGGCTACTGCCACACAGTACCTCCAAAAGCTGCGCTAGATCGCAATATCCGAGTACAGGCTCTTTGCTGATGAGATGCTTAATAGTTTCTAAGGCGCTTTTCTGTTCTTTTCCCCAACTCCATTTTACTGCTTTGTGAGCTAACCTCCTGCGCGGCTTCAGGATTTCAGCTTGTCTTGGCATAAAATTGCTCAAGTGACTCACCATACCGTGTAAACGACGGACTCTGTTTACGTCATTAGGAGGCGGCATCTCTCGAATCGCTTTAATCTTTCCTGGATCGACCGTGACCTCTTGTGTTGTTAGCAAATGCCCATGGAAAATCACTTCGTTTTTCCGAAGTTCAAACTTTGCACGTTTCAGATTGATGTTCTTTTGCACACAATGCTGTAAGAAACGGTGGAGATTAGCGTCATGCTCTTCTTCTGT